TTTTTTTTTTTTTTTCTTTTTTAACGGTTGATAAGATTGTTATCGAGTTAAGTTAAGTTCGGTTTTATTAAATTATTCGGTTATTAAATTTAAATGGGGGAAATAGTTTAGGAAAATTGGGATGAAGTAGTGGATTACAAGGAAGGGATATTTTTTTCAGAAGAATGATCGCGGAGATATAATTGTGTATGTGGTTGGTCTGTTGGATTTTCAGGTGTCGTCCATCAACAGGGTGTTGAGAAATTTGGCGGCGCAGAAGGAGCAACGGCAGCAACAGCAGCAGCAGCAGCAAGGTGTGGCCGCTGTTGGAGTCGGGGTAGGTGCTGGTAGCCCGGCCGAGAGCGTTTACGATAAATTGAGATTGCTCAATGGGCAAACCACTGGATGGCCACGACCCAATCCATGGTGGGTTTATATTCTTTGCAATCAATTAAATTAAATTAAATTAAATTAAATTAAATTAAATTAAATTAAATTAAATTAAATTAATTGGGGAGGGGGGCAGTTCGATTCACTTCAAATTTTCCACGTTATATTACGATAATATTTGTCGTTGAATTAATTATAATTTTAAGAGAGAGAAAAATTATAAAATTGTTAGGAAGAGAAGGAACGAGATACATATATATATATATATGTTTGAAAAGTAGCAAAAGATAGAGAATCGTGGAATTAAACGGAGATCTTTCCATTTCTAAATTTTATTTCACTTTAGGTATCCATCTGGAGCTGGCAGCCCATTTCCATCCCTGCAACCCAGTTTGAGCCCGAGTCATTGTACGGCCTTGCCACCGGATCCTGCGGACATTCTGCACGCAAAGAAGGGTAAGTGAAAGAATCGCTCATCTCTAAATTTCATTACGCACTCATATTGATCAAACTCGTAATTAACATAATGTAAATATTTTATAATTAGACGTATGAATGTTACAAAAAAAAAACTATTATAGAGTGTACGTAATATTTAAAAAAATATATATAAAATATTCAAACCACGACACCTCTTATTATTAATAAGAGGTATTAGTTGTGAAAAGTAACAGTAAGAATATATTTAATAAAAGAAATAGAAATAAATTATGTTATATAAAAAAATATATAAAATATTCAAACCACAACACCCTTGATTAATAATAATTATAAATAATTATTAATAATTATTAATTAGGAAGTAAGTTGTGAAATGATTTGACCAAAACAATAAAAAAAAATATATTTATTAAGGAAATAGGAATAAAATATGTTATATAAAAATATATACATATATAAAATAATATATATAATATATAAAATATATATATATAAAATATATAAAATATATATATAAATATATATATAAAACTACAACAATCCTTATTAATATTAAGGAATAAGTTGTGAAGTGGTTTGACCAAAACAGCAAAAAAGAATATATTTATTAAGAAAATAGAAATAAACTATATTATATAAAAAAATATATAAAATATCCAAACCACAACACCCTTTATTAATATTAAAAAAGAAATAAGTTGTGAAGTGGTTTTACCAAAACAGTAAAAAAGAATATATTTAATAAAGGAAATAAGAATAAATCGCGTTACATAGATGTGAATCGTGCCGATGCCTTCGTTCGACTGTCCTGAACTCGCTGTGTCGCGTCGAAACGGAGAAATCAAAATAGAAACATCGATCGCGTCCAATGACACATTCGATTCGCGTATAAATATATTCCGTATATAAATATACGGAATATATACAAACCGCACCTTTACGCACACGTATATATATATATATATCGAGTTTATGTATATATAAACTCGACAATCGTCGTTCAAGAATTAAAATAACAAACCTTCGCCCAATTCCTTCCATTCCATTGAAACTCTATTCCCTTTTTATTCTCTTTTTATTCTTCCTCGATAAAAAAAGATGCTTACGGAAACTCGTCAAACGCGCGATATTCGACAAAACAAAAAAAAGAGAAAGAGAAAAAAAGTTTCAGAATATTTTCAACCAACTCGAAAAATTGAATTCCAATTCTACTAATTTAGAGGAACACTCGAATCGAACGCTCTCTCCCTCCCCCCCCCCCCAAATCCTACCAAAAATAGGAGGAGAGGGCGCGAGATTCCGGGAGAGAACCCCCAGAGACTCGAGAACAACCCCCTCTCCCTCCTCCCTCCCTCTCCCTCTCTCTCTCTCTCTCTCTCTCTCTCTCGTTTGTTTTTCGCTGCTCGTGACACCCTGGCCGCCACCCTTGCGGCCGAAAAAGAAATCGCGCGTTTGATGTCGCCGCCAAAGGGAGGGCGCGCGCGTGCACGCGATGAAAGAGAGGGAAACAGGGGGAGAGGGTTGGAGGATGGAAATGCGCGAGGAATGGAGAAAGAGAGAGAGAGAGAGAGAGAGAGAGAGAGAGGGAGACCGACGTTGCGTCGGTCGAGTTACAATTTCGCGCGGGTTGGTCGGCTGCAACCGCGCTTCCACCACCCTCCCCCCTCCGTCTGTGTCCTTCGGTTGAACGTAACACAATTATTACCGGAAAAGCGGTGCACACGCATGCGGGAAACCGCGGCGGGACCCGGAATTACATTGATATTAGTATCGTTTCGCCCGACGGATTAATTAATTAAAACGCCGCTATTCCACCTCCGCTATTCATATGTGTATATCTGCGTACAAATCCTTGTCTGGATTTCTCTTGAGAGAATGATTGCTTTAAGGTTGGCGCGAATTTTGAATTTTCGATCGCAATTTTCGTGAATCGTAAATCGTTGGGAGGAAGGGATTAAGGTAAACTTGTTTTTAAAGATTGGGGAATTTTAATTGCAATTGGTTAACACGATGAAGCGAAACAGTTTCGTTCTGGATTGGATACGTTTGTTCTTTCTCCTTGTTGATTAGGTTTAGTTTTTTGTCGATCTGATGAAATTGTTTCGATGTTGTAATTATTTCAATTATATCAATTTCAAGTATCAAAGTGGTGGTCATTGGTGAAAAGAAGTCTCGCAGGAATTCTGGCAAGATACATTAGAAAATCTAGTAAGAATTATTTTCATTTGTGAAGTTAGGATAGGAATATTTTCGAAATTATTAGTGATTTCGATGATACTTATTGAGTACAATTATTGTCTCGAATACTATCGATACGTTAGAATAATTTGAATTTCTTATGCCTAATGCATTAGAGATTTAGATACAGATTGTCGTTTTATTGCCTCTCACAAATCGGATTAGTATATTAACGAGAACTATCACGCTAGAAAGAAAAATGCGTGAAATTTCTTTCTCCTTCTTTTCGGTATATCTAAATATTTATGATTTAATTGATAATCATTTAGCTCATTATATAGTTTCTAATAAAAAGTTCAATTTTCTAACATTTGATTCAATTTTTTACTGAAACTAAAAGTTTAGTTTATTATCAAATTCTTTCGACAATCTCTAAAACACTTTGATTTCCCCTCAACTTTCAAAATCCAAATCACTTCCAGTGATGGGCAAAAAATTTAATAATTCAAGTCACTTCGATATAATCGTGATAATCACTATTGAATAAGTAATCACTTAAACTAACATTATTCGAAATCTTTAACTAGTTACTTTTTCAACGAGGGCCATCAGTGATAAATAAAATTTAATAATTGAAATTACTTCGATAATTTATCGTTCAAAATATAATAACAATCGTGAAAAGCGGATCAATTATAATATATCTACGAATAAATGTTATTCGATAACATTTTATTAATTATTTAAACTAACATTATTCGAAATCTTTAACTTTTAGTTACTTTTTCAACGAGAGATTAATATACCACCAGTGATGGATAAAATTTAATAATTGAAATTACTTCGATAATTTATCGTTCGAAATTTTCAACTAGTTATTTTTTCAAGAGAAATTAATGCTCAATCATAAGCTACGAATAAATGTTATTCATATATATTCGTATAGCATTTTAATAAACGATCTTAAACTAACCTTATTCTAATTATATTTTCAACTAGTTACTTTTTCAAGAGAAATTAATGCTCAA